TAGCGATGGCCTCCAAACCTAATAGCGATGGCCTCCAAACCTAATAGCGATGGCCTCCAACCTACTAGCGATGGCCTCCACTTTTCCGCTTTTCCGCAAGATACTGGCACCGCAGCTTGTGGCGGGGGTGACCAGAAACGTGAGCGGCTGCATGTTACAGCACAATGTCCTCGATGTCAAGGCCTCGAACGAAGGCGGGGCGAAATTGGAGGAGGAACTTTTCGAGAGCTTGGAATCTGGATGCATCAGCTCGGATACAAATGCAGTGGGCCCAGAAAGTCGTGACTTTCGAGGAGGGCCGTGCATAGCATGAGGACAGCGGGATAGATTCCAATTTGTGAATCCTCAACAGCAGTAGACGAAACCACTTTACTCGAAGTACCAACGCATGACCGTTGGCTTCATGGCGGTCCATCCAGCTCCACTTCTTATATTGATTGGAGGGTTTGGCACCTCCTAAGTTGGTACGGAGCGCGAAATCTATGTAGAGATACAGCCACGGCAAAAACCGGATTTCTGCATCAGGATCTATCAGGGTGCGGGACCATTCGGAAAGGGCCGACCATGCGGTGCCTACCAACTTCGAAGTTGCCAGTTGCGGATATGCCGGTAGCGGGCCAATGGTCGCCTCAGTGAGCGGCAGAGGATACTGTTCAGTGGGCACATCAATGGGCACCATGCGGGCTTCCTTAAGCACTGCTGCTGCACTGACTTGGAGGATGGTGTCATGAATTTTGTCACGCAGGGCGCGGGAGGCACCAATGGCCGCAACCGCTTTTTGCCAGAGCAGAAACACTTGATGGGGGTATCTCACGCTCATCTGTGCACAGAAATCTGCATGACTATTCCCTGTGAATGCCCAGATTTCGACCGGATCGGCCCCTTCAAGTTTCTGATGGCTGGCAATTTTGTGTACTTGAACACATCCAGCAGGCAGTGAACGAGCTAACGCTAGCAGGGGGTCCCACAGGTCCGCATCTTTGCGCGGAGGCTGACAGTTGTCAGGGGCACTGAGGGCTGCTTGGAGGGTGTCCACAACTAGTGCGTTGTCACTCCATAGGCGCATTGGGGTGCCTTGTCGAACGGCAAATCTGAACGCACTCGTGGCGGCCAAAATCTCTGCTCGAAGGCTTGACTGTCGCCAGCCTGGCACTATTCCTTGGGCTAAAGGACACCATCCGTCTGGATCATTAGGATCTGCAGCAACTACTCCCCATCCAGCAATTCGTGTATGGGAACACGTGGGGTTGGCGCACGAACCATCAACGAAAATGTCAGTAGGGGCGAAGGGTAACTGTTCGAAGCTGCCCGTGAGGTCCGGCAGTGCAAGCAGTACTCGATGCAAATCCAGGACTTCGGGCGGGAGTCCTATCCAACCATGGTATGTCAAGCACTTCGGGAGATCCCCAGCTTGGGCTTTTCGTGTAACTGAAGGGTGTGGCCGGCAGCTCTCGAAATGCTGGCACTCCCAAAACCGATGGTGTTGTGAGTCTGGCTTGCCACAAAATTTGCAGGTCAGGGTATGGGCATTCTTATTATGTGCTTGGGAATCAGCAGTAAAGAACGTCCCATTGAGAGCTTTACGAAGCAAACCTAGCTTATCTTGTGCAAGGTGTTGGATCTTTTCCATGGTAAAGGTGGCATTTGCTCCTTCCAGGCCTTGGAATGTCTTACGATGGCATGCGCGCCGTTGGACTAGGTGTTGCCAGGCTCCATACAGTCTCTGCTGGACCTCGCTAGTGGACCCTCTCAGTAGGTCAATCGGCAGGCGCAGGTGGTCGAGCATCCAACCATGTCCAAGCCATTGCCAACCCAGGGCATGAAGGCGCTCGAGAAGTACATGGCAGGGGCCTGGGCGATGGAGCATTTCCCTCCAGTTATTCAGGATGTTATCAATTAACGAACACACTTTCTCGAGATCTGCATGTCGGCGGAAGGTGTGAACCGTCTGCAGCAGGGCATGGCACTCCGGATCTGTGAGGGGATGTTCGACAAGGGACAGGTGCACCATAGGACTAATACCGGGTGCATGCACCTTCAGACCACGGCATGCACCGGTTCGGAGCGATCTGAAGTGAACCTCTCCCAAGCTTGCGGCCGTGCAGCCGCTCAGGGCTTGCGGCCATCCCTTGATTTTGAGTGCATTAACTTTTTGCCTGTATGGCGCCGGAGAACGTGCTAGCGCAAGCCACACGGGGGGCATGGCAACTATCCTTTTACATAAAACATGGTTGGTGGTGCGTTTGCCATACTCCATATGTGCCCCCAGATCTCTAGTGGACGAAAGCAAGGGGAGTGCTTGATCACGGGCAGCAGCACGATCAACTGCGTCGGTAGACCAAAAGTAGGTCTTAGCTTGGTCAATTTGGAGGTCAAGCAGCTCACAGAAAGTTGTCATCAGGCTCAAGCCTTGTTCGGCGGTGCTAATGTCTGGTGCCGTGAGCTCAAGGTTGTCAACATATGACCAAAGCCTTACCGATGGGTGGCGAATGCGGAGCCACCTTGTGAGGGTGATGTTACACAACAGCATTGCTGTGCAGCTGAGTCCACACCCTTCGGCAAACCCCGTGGTGGAGGACAGCTGGGGGCCTATGGTGCCGCGGACGCTAAAGGCTCGTGTCATCTGTCCGAGCGCCGCATTCCAGGCCCGGATGATCGGCTTTGGTAATCCGAGATGGAGGCCTATCGCAAGCAGGGGAATTCTTGGCAGTAAATTAAACGCCTTGACTAAATCGGCGACAACTCCGGCTAATGGCACACTATCAAGGTGGGCTTCTTCAAGATGAACTTGTACGCTCAGCCACAAATCGGTGCATGACTTACCCGGGACATTGCCTGTGATTAGATCAGGAACGTACTTCCCCAGGAATGCGAGGGTTTCCCGTGCACGAATGGATGACCATGTTCGGTAAACTATCGAAAAAACCGTGAGCGGGCGGTATTGGCTTGCCCTCCATGCACCTGGGATCTTCTCTAATGCATGGACATGACCTGTGACGACTTGAGCCGGCCAGGCGGATGTGCCTGTCTCTACTGCTTGCAAAATGGCAAGGATCGGCTCTACATGGCTGCGAGGCAATGCAAGCAAATCCTGCTTGGACACTCCATCTGGACCGATGGCGGCACAGGCTTTCTTTTTCCGGACGGCATCTTGCCAAGTGTCAAATGTGATTGGGGTGTATTGCATCTGTGGCGGATCAGGAAACACATGTTGCACGAAATCAACAATGGGCTCCCATTTGGTGTCAGGGGTGTTCCGGTGTCGATCCCATCTGGCCATCCATTCCTTTTGGAATGCGGCATAGATTTCTTCAAGATCGGTGACTGGGCTTGACTGCGCAATGCTGTCACCCTCTTGGAGGGGTGGCATGTGCTGGAGCCACAACTTCCCAGAGGGGCATTCCAACACCAAAACCCCCCGATATCTCCAAACCAACACCTTCACCCCTTTGGCAAGATTGACCCTTGCAGTGCTTAAAGCTTTTCAAAGCAACCAAAATACACCAGGACCAGCCAGCACATACAAACAGCACATTTTCAAGCCACCGCAAGAGCGCCAGCTTCCGGGGTGAAACTTCTCAGAGTCAAGGCCTGGCAACAAAAAGTCCAAACTTTCAAGCTGCAACCGCGGCTGCAACATATGAAGCACATATGAAGCACTGAGCAACATACAATCTAAAACAAGAACACATTTCTACAACATTGGAACCTAGACATGTTCCTAGGCATGGACATGCCCCTGACATGAACACGAGGAAAACCATGAACACCAATGAACCATATGTGAACATAAACAAACATGAACACATGTGAACCGTGAAATAACATGAACACATGCACTGGAACAAGAACGCATGAACAAACAAACACATGCAAATTTTACCACATGGCATGGCTGCCTGAACACTCACAGACACATGTTGGGGGAACTGTTTAACACACGTTGCGCGCCTGAAATCTACGCAGTTGGCTTC